TATACCTGTTATCCCAAAGTTACATATGTTATATCTGTTATCCCATAGTTACATATGTTATATCTGTTATCCCATAGTTACATATGTTATATCTGTTATCCCATAGTTACATATGTTATATCTGTTATCCCAAAGTTACATATGTTATATCTGTTATCCCATAGTTACATATGTTATATCTGTTATCCCATAGTTACATATGTTATATCTGTTATCCCAAAGTTACATATGTTATATCTGTTATCCCATATTTACATATATTATATCTGTTATCCCATAGTTACATATGTTATACCTGTTATCCCAAAGTTACATATGTTATATCTGTTATCCCATAGTTGCATATGTTATATCTGTTATCCCATATTTACATATATTATATCTGTTATCCAATAGCTACATATGTTATATCTGTTATCCCATAGTTACATATGTTATATCTGTTATCCCATAGTTACATATGTTATATCTGTTATCCCATAGTTACATATGTTATATCTGTTATCCCATAGTTACATATGTTATATTTGTTATCCCATAGTTACATATGTTATATCTGTTATCCCAAAGTTACATATGTTATATCTGTTATCCCATAGTTACATATGTTATATCTGTTATCCCATATTTACATACATTATATCTGTTATCCCAAAGTTACATATGTTATATCTGATATCCCAAAGTTACATATGTTATATCTGTTATCCCATATTTACATATATTATATCTGTTATCCAATAGCTACATATGTTATATCTGTTATCCCATATTTACATATATTATTCCATTGAATTCACACCAAGCACTTGTGGAGGCATTTTGGTAAACGAATATTTTATTTTCTTTTTCAGCGTACCCAGTATAGGAACATATGGCTGCACTTTCTGCACAACTGACGCTGATTGTGCAGCCGGTGGCGTGTGTTGCCTAAGTCTGTGTGGAGGTAACCCTTCAGCTTTGGCCAATAAACTCCACGCCTTGATATTTTTGGACTTTTTTGGAACTTTGTTCTATTTTTCTGTTCTGCCTCTTTCAATTCACTTTTGCTTGCTGTGTCCAGAAATAAAATATGAACTACAGGAAAGTGTATTGACTAAAAATATATATATATATATATATATATATATATATATATATATATATATATATATATATATATATATATATATTCTGCGAAACTTAAGAAAAAGCATTTTTTCCTTAGATTTTTAGATGTCTGGGTCTAATTCAATGAAATATTTTGGACAAAATTCAAAATCTAATAATGTTTAAAAATGTGAAATGAAAGAACGAACTAATAGTTCATCCGAATTGAAACAAAACGATCGTGTTAGTATGTTAACATTCCCCGTAACTCTTCTTGCCTTATACAATTATCGGTATTTATTTGGTTATCCCAAAAAGTAAAAGTCTATTTATCTGGACAACGAGACCAGCACGTTTACAATAATTAATTATAGCTTTGAAAGAAGCTATTTAGTAATGTAAAATTCAACTTATTGAAGGGAAGGTATAAATTGTATTTATGTAAAAAAAAATTGAATAAATTCTTTTTAGATCTATGTCATTTTTATTATGTTTTATTAAAACAATAATTAAGAGGAACTATTTATTTTAGTTTGATTGGTACAATTTAAAAAAAAAAGATTTATGGGCACCCCCTATGGCGTAGCTAGGTCGGGTGTCACCCGGTGCGGCACCTAAAGGCCTAATCACTCAAGCAAAAGTAAATGTACGGCTATTGTTCTTCTGGTGTCAGTCAACCTCCTCCACACACTTACACTTACACAAACACACACACAAACACACACACACTTACACATATACACATTCGTAGTCTGTTTTATAATAGTAGGCTTGATCGATTAATATGAAAATGTAAATTTTAAAAGGGGTTTCACCCCAATCTACTACAGTGGAAGGTGTATTTGGTGTCACCCCCACCCCTGAAGTCGATTGTCACATCAGTTATTACAATTCTCAACCAAAGCTTTTTTTCTCAGGCGAAGGCTACACCGTTTAGTTGGTGTCACCTAGCCCCCCCCCCTCCCCCGTGATAGCTTTAAACTGTGCACAGATAATACTAACGATGTTTATCTTAAGTAGGGTATTAATACAGCTGGATTTTGCATTGTTATCTATATCGTTAGCAGGTTTACGTCTTGGTATCAACCCCCCCCCCCCCCACCCACTCTTGTCGGGGTTTCTGTCAACTTGTCTCTTAAAAGATTATTTAATTCTAATTAATCATTCATTTAACTGGAAAGATCATTGTTTTTCCATATATATTTTCTATTTTTTTTTGCCATGGTGTTACCCCCCCCCCCCCAAATGATTTCATCTAGTGCGGTCCGCACCCCCCCCCCCCAACGCCCCCTTCCTTCGCGACGCCTCTGGACACTCCTATTAGACTAATAGGTCATGGAAGAGCGTTTGTTTATCTTACACAATACAGCTCATGTAGTTTTTTTTTCACGCAACAAGTGTGTTAGTTACTGTAGAACAATCACTGCTGCTGGACATCTCTTTTGTTTTTCCAATCCAATATCATGCGCGAGTACAAAGAAATTACTTTTTTGGTCAGATTTTGTGCTCTCTAAATTGGCTAAACAGCTTGCCTTACTCCCTCCCCCCGCATAACGTGGTCTTACGGTATGGTAGCTCCGCCCCTGCCACAAGCACACTTACGCACTCATGTACATATACACACGAGCACCCCCCCCCCCACACACACAGACCACCCCACACTCTAACACACCTCGTACAGAAGCACACGAGCACCCCCCCCCCCCACACACACACATGCCATCCCAGACACTAACATACCTTGTACAGAAGCACACAAGCACCTCCCCCCCCCCCACACACACAATCACACACATGCCATCCCAGACACTAACATACCTTGCTGCGTGCACGTCCGCACGTCCGCACGTCCACACACACATTCACATTCATCGGGCCACTCACCCCCACACGCACACACAAACACACACGCAAAAGATAGAGACATACACAGACAACCTCTTTAGAATGCGACCTTGGCTTATAACTAAAACACATTATATTTTCTTTTCTAAACAATAAAACAATACTAATCCGTTTAGAGACTTCGGTGAGTTAAACGTTTTCTTCTGTTGATCCTAAACATTAAATCAACATCACTAGTCGTCTCCACCAGATGTCGCTTTTGTTTTTACGTCGTGAAATTATGTTTGGTAAATATATCAATTACTGACGGTGTGGCCTAGCGGTAGAGAGCTAACCGTTAACAGAGTGTCTCGAGTTCGAACACTGGTTCAAATCAGTGGAACGTTGTCAGCTCTGACGGGTGTCTAATTTATGTTAGGGAAACAAAGGCGGCTGGGCATACTGCTGACCACACTATCCCTTCAAATGCCGAGGTCTCTGAAGAAGATGAACTCTACTTCATCTGCACAATGTGTTTTGTGCACGAACGGGAAATGATGATGATGGATATCAATTAAAACATCTCTTAATATTCAGGTTCTTAGATGAAATTTAAAGATAACATTACAACTAGGTTTGTTGAGAAAAAAAATTGTAGATCAGAAGATCTTTAGTTTATTTACCTTGATTTAAAGATTACAACCAGAAATATTCTCAGCGGTAAATAAACAGTTAAGGGAACTTAAACTGGGTACTTGTGAACTACAAAACGTGTCGTTATTATTACTATAGTTTTTCATGATTGGAGTATGCTAAAGAACATTTGATGGTGTGGATTTTGTTTTTCACTTTATTTCTTAGCTTGTTTTCATTATTGATTGCCGTTTTTATACAGTTTTTAGGCTAGGCTTGTAGCGAGACAACACTGATAAAAATAACTGATTGAACATCCTAAAAGATAAAATTGTCATTTTTTAAAAACAATTTTTATCACAAAATAAATAGATCTTTGTTGCACGTAAAATAACTGTCTGGACAGTTATGTTCAGTTATATTAATATCTATATATGTACAAAATGTAACAGATGCTTTATTATTTACGTGTCGTTTAACACATTGTAATAATACTATAATTAGATACGTTTTTGGTTTAGAATCTTACACAAATTAATTCGTTATAATCTATAACAGATCAGTAAGTTTAGTGAAGGTTTATTTTATTGTCGTTAAACTTTGGTTCAAATATAATTGATGAAATGTAATTAAAGACTTTCAATTATTCGCTCGTTATGAAAAAGAACTTGCAATTTATAAATTAGTTCTGTTCAATTTTCTGCCATGAATAGGTAATACAAATAATATATTAGCAAAGTAAAGAGTTAACGCTAGTGTGGGTTGGGGAGGGGTGAGGGTGGGGTGGGACGGGGAGTGGGGTGGGGATATTGGAGTTTAAAACTGAATTAGCCTTCCCACTCGCTTTTTAGAAAAAATATTCATTGAAGCTTATCAAAAATGTTACAAAGGAGTTTATGTAACGTAATTTGATTGCTTCGTAAAAATACAATAAATGTATTTTTGTTCTCTTTGAAGTCAAAATGTTTTCGAGAGTTGGATGTATTGAGTTGGTGGCAGTGGCGTTTTTACCACAGAAACATGAGTTGGTTGGAGTGGAGATACAACAATTATTTCGGAAACAAAATATTATAGCTATTAATTTATAAGGATAGGCGGAAAGTGGGTAAGAAAAAAAAATAAAAACATTTAAGTCAAAAACAGTTTATGTTTATTTTGGCGTAAACTGTATTATAAGCAAAAACTAATAAATCATGCTATCAGAGTGTTATTATCGCAAGTAATGCAGTACCAACGTTGTTTGCTCCATTTAGAAATGAATATGTTATGTGTTAGCTTTGGTTATGTGTTAGCTTTGTTGAATGTTCTTTTAACAATGTATCAATGATTTCTATGCCATTTTTTGGTAAATGAGATGTTGAAAGTTGGGTAACACTTATAATGACCTAATCAGGGGATTGTCATGCGGGTTAAAAGTTAATAAAGGTAATTAGACGTTACACCACTTATTGATAGTTATTAGGAACGACGTATCAACAAAGAGTTTACTCTGTAGATATTTTTTGCAGGAAATGTGTCACTAGGAGCTGTCAATATGTCTTAAAGTTCTTATAGATTCCTTACTTTGACAGACCCCATAGAAAACCCTCTTATTCTACAGTTTTGGACTACAATAAAATCAGGTAAAATTATAAATTTAATACACACTGTATACGCGATGATCGATGATATAATCCAACAAGCTATATAAAACTATTGTAACGAGAGACGCCCTTGTCTTGTTCTGCTTGAGTGGTTTTCAGTCATAGCTCACGAAATAAAACAGAGCTTTACATCCTTGTGCAAAGTTGTCTTGCGTCTGGTGAACATTATCTCCCTTACTTGAAGATTGAGTTACCTCGCCTGTGTGGAATTTTCAGCTGCAGTAACAATACAATCATGAGCTGCTACAAGTTCCTCCTGCTGGTAAGTAATTTCTGTCACTTCTAAGTAACACCAATAAAACAGTAAACAATTACCGAATTGATAGTGTTTTAATATTTTTACTTCAGCAAGGTAATGCACATATTTTTCCTTAACAAAATAATTATTATAGGCCTCTATCCTGACTGGATTGTGATGTTTATTGTTACTTTTTTTCTATAAATTAAATTCTTCAAAATAGTTATTGTACATTTTAAACTATTTTTTAAAACAGGTTGGATTGATGCTGACGTACCTATCGGTAAATAGCCTTTACTCAGTTGATACTGTAATAATGTTAAAGTATAATATTAAAATAGGGTGTTTGTAAAAAAATTATACGCCTATATATATACATATTATTTATATATATATATATATATATATATATATATATATATATATATATATATATATATATATATATATATATATATATATATTTGTATTCACTTTAATTATATTGTATTTTACAGATGGTGGAGTCATGTAAGTATCAGCTACCAAATTATTTCATAAATGTATATTTAAACATTAACCAAGATATATAAAAATTACCTTGAAAACCAGCTTACATTTTTTTTCCTTTATTACATTAGCGGCTTGCTCAAAGATCAAGTGCCTTAACGGTGGAACATGTTATGAAAAAAGTGGCAGAGCCTATTGTCGGTGTACTGTAAACTACACAGGCACCTACTGTGGAACTTTGATTGGTAAATCTTTTGCGAATTTGACTTGAGCGCTATTTATCAAGTTTAACTGTATTAATAATTATTTCGCTACTTATTTACGTAATCTGAAACTAATATTCGAACTAAAAAAATAACTTTCGACCTGGCGTACGCTATAATGTATATACGATATTGTAATTTTACTTTATCAATGAAAAATCTAATGGATCTTTTAATATTTCTGAAATCCATGTAGAAAATTTTGATTTTGTGATGTTGTAATCGTAATTCTGGACACTAAAACTGCTGGAATTGGAAAAGATTTAAAGTGTTTATTTACTTAATGACATTGTTTAATTTACTTTAATTTAATTTAGTTATTCAATTGAATCCATGTATTTACTGAAAGTGTCATACTTTCTATCCACTATCCCTCACCCCCAACCCATTTGATAGTCTCAAACGTTTCTATCTCACTACACCAGTACTGTGATAGTCTCATACTTTCTATCTGCTGTACCAGTATTGTAATAGTATCATACTTTTCATCTCTCTACACCAGTACCCCCCCAACCCCTGTGATGGCGTCGTCTGCGAGAATGGTGGAACCTGTACCGTAGTTTCCAATGTGGCCACTTGTGTCTGTGTCTCTGGCTACACCGGTGACAGGTGCCAGACCCTAGCCTGTCCGGTAAGTACTTTGTTTGTTACCCCCGGGCAACAGATTTTTAGAATTCTCAAAGCCTTTATAGCACCAGAGCAAAAACTACTTTAAATTTATACACTTGTATTTAGTAGAAAATATGGCATCTGTTATAGTAAAACTTTTTAATTAACAAAAACAGCTTTACTTTATATGTTAGAACATGTGTATTTAACCTCTATAACAACACTTAAATGTGGTCTAATTTTCCACATACTCTATAACAGCTTTTTAGATTTCTTGAAGTATTGGTTTTACCTGAACAAAAACTACTTCATTAAATTTTAGAAACTTCTATTAAAGTAGAATATTTTGAATCTTCGATAAAAAAATGTATAAAATCAATTAAAATAGTTTTACTCGGTATGTTAGGAGCTGTGTTTTTAAACTAAATAACAAACTTAAATGTGTTCTATTTTTTCACTCACACTTTAACAAGAGGTATACAATAATATTTAGCGCGTTTCCACGTAAGTAGGCCCCTACACATATTACAGAACTTGGCTTACGAATACTTCACATTGTTTTCACAGTCTACAACAGGTGGCGGATTTGGTATATGTGGCGGCACTTTCTGCACAACTGACGCTGATTGTGCAGCCGGAGGCGTGTGTTGCCCAAGTCTGTGTGGAGGTAACCTCTGCTACCCCTTCAGCTCTGGACGATAAACTCCATGCTCAGAGATTTTTGGACTTTTGGAAAATCTTGTGCTGACTATTTTTCTGTTCTGATTCTTGAATATTAGATGAAAAATTCATTCGTCTGAAAATACGATTTCTTAGTTGTTAAAATTTTTATTTGAATTCTAATTGCTGAAGTGCTATGCCATTAAATATTTCAACCACTAAAAAGAGTGTTGAATGAGCATTTCTTTTAAAAAAACAGATACATGTGTGTGTGTGTAAGTGTAAGTGTATGTGTGTGTAAGCGTATAAATAAAAATAAATAAATAAAAATATATGTCTTATTCTTATACTGCTACAAAATATCCCAGCAGACATGTTTTTCCTGACATTTTTCTGTCTTTTTTTAAAAGAAACTTTGGTTATTTATCTTAAGATATACAGCCGTGATTATCAAAACAATTATAAGTTAACTCTTTAATAACTAAAGCCAAATTAGCTGTCATATAAGCTGAGAATTATGTTTTAAAATTATGAATATACATTAGCAATCCTTCATATTCCTATTTGAATATATATTTGGATATAATGCAACTTAAACCATAGAACAACACAGCCATTGATTTTCCTAAAATGTCTATTGATTGCCGATCATAAAGTTACAGATGCTACACAACTGTAGTTAAAGACCTAAATGTTGTTAGTGACTTCTAGTGTGTAGTCGTTGATATTATGTTTGGGCGAGTTAGATAGTAAGCTGCGACTTAAATTATGACAATATCAGCATATTATAGAGATGACAAATTCCAATGTAAAATTACCTAAATTAAAGATTAAACTGATTTAAGGCGTAAATTAATTGTTTCAAAATGTTTGGCAACGCTTTTCAAGGTTGACAAAATATGTCAATTCAAGCCGACCCGCGGCGTAGCATACTCCTCTATTTAGTTGTTTTATTTTCTATTTTTCAGTAATAGATAATTTGTAAATTCGACACTATCAATGCTATGACTAAGAATATTTTGCTTTAAAGCACTATCAGTAGCTCGTGAAGGACGATTATCCTCACCCGCCCTTGATTAATACATTTTAAATGTTATTTTGCAACACGCACTTTTAAATAATATTTAAAAAACGAAATGTTTCCTTTTCACTTATTACATATTGAAAATTATTTCTGATGATGACACAAATCTGTGAAAAAGATATAAATTGATAGCCATATAGAACTATCACACAACCTTAATAGCAATAGAAAAAAAACCTATTAAACAATAAAAACATATCACAAATCATTAAAATAAAAGACAAGTAAAAGTATTAAAATAAGAATAAATTACTCAAGCATAATCAAATGTACAACTATTGTTTTACTGGTGTCAGCCACCCTCCTTCCCACACTTACACAAACACACACACTTAGAAATATACACACTCGTAGGCTGTTGGATAATAATGTGCTTGATCGAATGATATGAAAATTTGTAAATTTCAAAAGTGGTTTAACCCCAATCTACTTCGGTGGAAGGTGCAGTTGGTGTCACCCCTCCCCCAAACATCTGTTGAATGACGTCACTTGTGTGCTAACATTATAATAATCTACCTAGAAAAAGCATTTAGGGGTGTAATTCTCACTGTTATTAATTCAAGTGGAAAAATCATTGTTTTTGAAGTAAAGGGTTAAATTGAGTGTCACCCCCACCCCTTGACATACAAGTTATAACAATTCTCAACCAAATCGTTTTCATCATGCAAATGCTATAACGTTTAGTTGGTGTCACCCACCCCTTCCTCCCTAGTATTAGCTTTAAACTGTGCACAAATAATACTAAAGATGTTTATCTATTGTAGGTTATTAATACGGATGGATGTGGCATTGTTTTTTCTATCGTTAGCAGATTTACGTCATGGTGTCACCCTCCCCCCTCCCCACCCTAAGATGTCAGGATATGTCAACTTAGCTCTTAGATTAGAAGATTATTTAATTTTAATTAACCATTCATTTTGCCAATATATTTTCTATTTTTTTGCCATGATGTTACCCCCCCCCCCCCAAAATGATTTCATCTAGTGCGGTCCACACTCCTCCCCAACGCCCCCTTCATTCGCGACGCCTCTACGCACCCCTATTATACTATTTAAAGAGGAGTAATTAGTCATGGAAGAGGTTTGAACGTTTGTCTATCTTTCACAATACAGCTCATGTAGTTTTTTTTTACGCAAGAAGTGTGTTGGTTACTGTAGAACGATCACTGCTGCAGGAGATCTCTTTTGTTTTTACAATCCACGATCATGTGCGAGTACAAATAAATTATTTTTGTCACATTTTGTGCTCCCTAAATTGGTTAAACAGCTTGCATTACTCCCCCCCCCCCTCCACCCGCACAACGTGGTCTGACGGTATGGTAGCTCCGCCCCTGCCACAAGCACACGTACACACGAGCACCCCCCAGCCCCCCCCCCCCACACACACATAGACCATCCCACACTCTAACATATCCTCGTACAGAAGCACACGAGCACCCCCCCCCCCCACACACAATCACACACATGCCATCCCAAACACTAACATACCTTGCTGCGTGCACGTCCGCACACACACATTCACATTCACAGGCCCACTCACCGACACACGCACACACAAACACACACGCAAAAGAAAGAAGCACACACGGACAACCTCTTTAGTATACGACCTTGGCTTATAACTAAAACATATTATATTTTCTTTTCTAAATAATAAAAAAATACTTATCCGTTTTGAGACTTGGGTGAATTCAAAAGTTTTCTTCTTTTGATCTTGAACATTAAATCAACATCACTAGTCGTCTCCACCAGATGTCGCTTTTGTTTTTACGTCGTGAAATTATGTTTGGTAAATATATCAATTACTGACGGCATGGCCTTGCGGTAGAGAGAGCTAACCGTTAACAGAGTGTCTTGAGTTCGAATACGGGTTCAAATCAGTGGAACGTTGCCAGCTCTGGTGGGTACCTAACTTATGTTAGGGAAACAAAGGCGGCTAGGCATAGAGCTGACCACACTATCAATTCATATGCCGAGGTCTCTAAGATGAACAATACTTTGTCTGCACCATGTGTTTTGTGCACGAACGGGTAATGATGAAAAAGAATATCAATACATCTCTTAATTTTCAGGTTCTTAGATGAAATTTAAAGATAACATTAGAAATATGTTTGTCGAGAAAAAAAAGTGTAGATCAGAAGATCTTTAGTTTATTTACCTTGATTTAAAGATTACAAACAGAAATAGGCTCATTGGTAAATGAACAGTCAAGTGAACTTAAACTAGGCACTTGTGAACGTGTCGTAATGGTTAGTTTAGCATTCCGTGATAGGTGTATTCTAAAGAACATTCAATGGCGTGAATTTTATTTTTCACTTTGTTTCTTAGCCTGCTATCATTATTGATTACCGCTTTTATACAGTTGTGTTTTTTAGGCTTGTAGCGAGACAACATTGATAAAAATAACTGACTAACAAAAAACCTAAAAGATAAAATTGTCGATTTTTTAAAAACAATTTTTTTCACAAAATAAATAATTCTTTGTTGTAGTTAAATAACTCTCTGGACAGATATTTTCAGTATACATTAATATCTATATATGTACAAAATATGCACCGATATAACAGTTGCTTTCTTATTAACGTGTCGTTTAACACATTGCGTTAATACTATATTTAGATTCATTTTTGGTTTAGAATCTTACAAAAATTAAAAAGTACAACATGCAGCTATTACCTGCTGATACAAATCACATCAGTAAGTTTAGTGAAGGTTTATCTTATTGTCATTAAACTTAGGTTCAATTATAATTGATGAAATGTAATTAAAGACCTTCAATTATTCTTTCGTTATGAAAAAGGAATTGCAATTTATAAAAAAGTTCTGTTCAATTTTCTGTCATGAATAGGTAACACAAATAATATATTAACAAAGTAATGAGTTAACGCTAGTGTGGGTTGGGGAGGGGGGTGGGTGGGTTGGGATATCTGAGTTTAAAACTGAATTAGCCTTCCCACTCGCTTTTTGAAAAACAAAATTCATTGAAGCTTATCACAAATGTTACAAAGGAGTTTATGTAACGTAATTTGATTGCTTCGTTAAAATACAATAAATGTATTTTTGTTTTCTTTGAAGTCAAACTGTTTTCGAGAGTTGGATGTATTGAGTTGATGGCAGGGGCGTTTCTTCCACAGAAACATCAGAGGGGGGGGATTGAGGTGGAGATTCTATAATAATTTCGGAAACAAAATATTATAGCTATTAATGTACAAGGATTGGCGGAATGTGGGTAAGAAAAAAAAGTAATAAACAAAAAAATTAACTAAAAAACCGTTTATTTTTAATTTGGCGCAAACTGTAAACCAAACAAATAAATCATGTTTTCAAGCTGTAATTATTGAAGGTAGAGCAATAATAACGTGTTTGTTTGCTCTCTTTAGAACTGGATATGTTAAGTGTTTGGTTTGCTGAATGTTCCTTATAAAAATATCAAATGATTTCTATGCCATAGTTTGGTAAATGAGATGTTGAAAGTTAGGTAACATTTATAATGACCTAGTCAGGTTAAATGTTAATAAAGGTAATTAGACGGTACACGACTTATTGATAGTTATTAGGAACGACGTATCAATAAAGAGTTTACTCTGTAGATATTTCGTGCAGAAAATGTGTCACTAGGAGCTGTCACTATGTCTTAAAGTTTTTATAGATTCCCTACTTTGATAGACCCCATAGAAGACCCTTTTCTCCAGCAGTTTTGTACTACAGTAACATCATGTAAAATTGTAAATTTAATACACACAGTATGCGCGATGATCGATGATATAATCCAACAAGCTATGATAAAACTATTGTAACGAGAGACGCCCCTGTCTCGTTCTGCTTGAGTGGTTTTCAGTCACAGCCCATGAAATAAAACAGAGCTTTACATCCTTGTCAAAGTTGTCTTGCATCTGGTGAAAGTTATCTCCCTTACTTGAAGATTGAGTTACCTCGCCTGTGTGGAATTTTCAGCTGCAGTAACAATACAATCATGAGCTGCTACAAGTTCCTCCTGCTGGTAAGTAATTTTGGTCACGTCATTTAGAATAACCATCTAAGTAACACCAATAAAACAGTAAATAATTACATTATTTATCGTGTTTTAACATTTTTACTTCAGCAAGGTAATACACATTTTTTTCTTAACAAAATAATTTTTATAAGCCTCTATCCTGACTGGATTGTGATGTTTATTATGGATATTTTTCTATATAAACGAAATTTTTCAAAATAATATTTGTACAGCTTAAATTATATTTTTAAACAGGTTGGATTGATGCTGACATACTTATCGGTAAATTGCCTTTACTCAGTTGATACTGTAACAATGTTAAAGTATAATATTTAAAATAGGGTGTTTGTAAAAAAAACTATACGCCTATATATATATATATATATATATATATATATATATATATATATATATATATATATATATATATATATATTCATTTTGATTATATTATATGTTACAGATGGTGGAGTCATGTAAGTATCAGCTACCAAATTATTTCATAAATGTATATTTAAACATTAACCAAGATATATAAAAATTACCTTGAAAACCAGCTTACATTTTTTTTCCTTTATTACATTAGCGGCTTGCTCAAAGATCAAGTGCCTTAACGGTGGAACATGTTATGAAAAAAGTGGCAGGGCCTATTGTCGGTGTACTGTAAACTACACAGGCACCTACTGTGGAACTTTGATTGGTAAATCTTTTGCGAATTTAACTTGACCGCAGTTTATCAAGTTTAATTGTTTTAGTAATTATTTCACTATTTATTTAAGTAATTGTTTTAGATCTAGCATACGCTATTACGTATATAAGATATCATTTGACTTTATCAGTGTTATATACATGATCTTTTAATAGTGCTACAATCATTACACTAGTCATTGATTTTGTCTCGTTGTAATCGTAATTGTGGAAACAAAAACTTCTGGAATTATCAAAGATTTCAAGTGTTTTATTCACTATTAGATGTTCTTTAATTGACGGTATATTTATTTAGTTTAATCCATGTTTTTATGATAGTCTTAAACTATCTTTCTTTTGCATCAGTACCCCCCAACCCCTGTGATGGCGTCGTCTGTCAGAATGGTGGAACCTGCACCGTAGTTTCCAATGTGGCCACTTGTGTTTGTGCCTCTGGCTACACAGGTGACAGTTGCCAGACCCTAGCCTGTCCGGTCAGTACTTTGTTTGTTACCCCCGGGCAACAGACTTTTTTAGATTTCTCAAAGTCTTGATTTTACCAGAACAAAAACTACTCTAAATGTATACACTTCTATTTAGTAGGAAAATTTGGCATCTGTTAAAGTAAAAAATATTAACTAAAACAGCTTTACTTGATATGTTAGGTGTTTTTAACCTTTATAACAACACTTAAATGTGGTCTAATTTTACACATACTCTATAACAGCTTTTTAGATTTCTCAAAGTCTTGATTTTACCTGAACAAAAACTACTTCATTAAAATTTATATACTTCTTAGTAAAGTAGAAAATTTGGAATCTGTGATAGAAAAATTTATAAAATCAATGGAGGCGAGTGAGTTGACGAGAATCCTTCCATCATGTTGTTGACATGGAATAAAAACGTGCTATTTTAGATTTAGACCGTCAAAATAATAAAAAATAAAAAATTAAGCCTAAAATTAATGTAGAAATTTTATATTTTTAGAAAAAATGCTTTAAAGGGTGCAAATTCAGAGAACTTCAAAATAATTTGTTGAGTTTAAGGCTACATTTCTATTTATTTTCATCAAGCCTAAGTTATAACTGGATGTTTCTACTTTCGTAAGACAAATATTGATTGGCTGTACAGGAACTCCGTGATCGATAATTATTTGTTTACAAAACTTTGCAGATAAAGTTTTTAAATAACAATGCAAATTTAAACCCCATGACCTAGTTATTCTTTTTTTTAGCTTAAACATGAGGTATACAATTATATTTAGCGTGTTAGTTTGTAAGTACACATATTACAGAACTTGGCTTACGAATACTTCGCATTGTTTTCACAGTCTACCACAGGCGGCGGAATAGGAACATGTGGCGGCATTTTCTGCACAACTGACGCTGATTGTGGCGGTGGCGTATGTTGCCCAAGTCTGTGTGGAGGTAACCTCTGCTACCCCTTCAGCTTTGGCCGATAAACTCCATGCCTAGATATTTTTGGACTTTTGGAAAATCTTGTTCTGACTATTTTTCTGTTCTGCATCTTGAATTAATTAGACCAAAACTTCATTCATCTGAATTTACGATTTCTTTGCTGTTACAAATTTAATTTGAATTCTAATTGCTGAAGTGCTATGTCATTAAATAAAAATTTCAACCACTAAAAAGAGTGTTGAATTAGCATTTTTTAAAAAATAAAACAAATATATGTGTGTTTAAGTGTAAGTGTGTGTAAGCGTATAAACATGAATAAATAAATGAATAAAAATATATGTCATATTCTTCTACTTCTAAAAAATATCCCAGCAGACATGTTTTTCCTGACATTTGTTTTTGTCTTTTTTTTAAAAGAAACTTTGGTTATTTATCTTAAGATATAACACCCGTGTTTATCAAAACAATTATCAAAACAATTATAAATTAACTCTAATAATACATAAAGCCAAATAAACTGTCATAAAAAAAATGAGAATTATGTTTTAAAAATATGAATATACCTACGGCAATCTTTCATATTACGATTGGTAGATATACTTGGATATGATGCTTCTTAAACCATCAAACAACACAGTCATTGATTTTCCTAAAATGTCTATTGATTGCCGAACAGAAACGCTACAGATGTTACACCACTTTAGTTTAAGACTTAAAATATTACTAGTGGCTTCTAGTGTGTGCTCGTTGATATTATGTTTGGGCGAGCTAGATAGTAAGCTGCGACTTCAATTATGACATCAGCATATTATCAAGATGACTCAATGCTGCTTCGTCCTAGTCATCTAAACTTAAAAGCATTACGAAAACACTGGTTTTTATATCTTACATTCGTTTTTATTATACATTCGGATAAGTAACAAACTGAGTTAACAAAAACATCAAAATAAATAATAGTTATCACAATTTAAATATTACAACTCAATAGTAAATATCACAGGAGATTTTTAATGCTGTAAAACATTATATCATAGTTTGTATTGCACCACATTTACAAATAAATGCTGAATAGAATTTTTAGCGGGTGTATAAAATATTATAACATTATAATTAATTATGTCAAAAGTATTTCATATTTTAAAATATATATAGACATTTGTTTTAAATCATATAACTATTTGATGTACAAATAAATAAAGTTATCCAAATATTGGATAGTAATTATAATTAATATTTAGTGGGTGTATAAAATATATTATAAAATTATAATTAATTGTGTAAAAATTTACATATTTCCAAATTGTTCAATATATACAGACATTTGTTTTAAATCACATAACTATTTGATGTACAAATAATTAAAGTTATCCAAATATTGGATAGTAATTATAATTAATATTTATTGGCTGTATAAAATATATTATAAAATTATAACTAATTATGTAAAAATTTTTACATATTTTCAAATTTTTCAATATATATAAACAGTTGTTTTAAATCATATAACTATTTCTTGTACAAATAAATAAAGGTATTCAAATATTGGATAGTAATTATAATTAATAGGCTGTTTGATTTAAAATTGATTGTATTATTTTTAAAATGCCGCACACGATTAACATATTAATGTCCCCACTCTCCCATTTAGTTTGACCATTAAAAATTGTGTCTTTTAGCCAATGAAAGCTCGAACTGTCCCCTTGACCACCTTCCTACAGACTGGACAATCTTTCATGGCAGCAGCACAATCACTGCAGGAGACCAGATGACCACAGGGCAGAAAGACCACGGCCACTTCTCTGTCCATACAAATTTTACACACAGTTTGTTGACGGAGCTGGTTGTTTCTTTCTTTTATCCTCGACAGACTCTCTGGATATAAAGATTATATTTACATACAATGCATTGTCGCTATTAATACATTTAATTAGCACATGGAAATAAATTTTAAATGTTAATTTCTAATTATGATAAATTAAGTCCAATAATACATTTCTGTGAATATTAAAATTTTCGAGAAAATAAATCATGGAAATAGAGTACTTTCCCTCTTTCATTGATAACCAATCCCTAACTTAAGTAATAAATGTTAAACTTGAATTGTACATTACCTTGATAGGTTAATGGGTCCACCTGAACAGTAGATTCGCTTTGTCTCCTAGCTGGATTATTATTATTTTCTCGCTGCTTTCCGTCTTTTCTTAGTTTTTCTAAAATATCATCGGCAGATATTTGTCCAGCTGTATTAAAATAATTATTTGTATTTAGTAACATAAAACATCATTCACTACTTGTGCGCCATGTAAAATGTATACTGACTGTAACTTTAGTCTATTTTTAAATCATCATTCTATAAAACACATGTATTGAAAAAAAAACGTGTTTACCTTCCTCTTTAACAACTCTAGCAGCCTCTTCCACTTCCTCCAGCTTATACCCCATCTCTACAAGGGTTCTCACAGCTGCATCTCGTGACAAACAACTGTCGTTGGAACCTAGAGAAGATAGTTTTAATTTCATCCATTACGATCAATGTATGTAAAAAGTTGGACTGAATGTTTCATAGTATTCTATCACTAGCGATACAAATATGTGGGTCATACTTACTTTGGCGGTATGCTGGGAATTCGGTTCGAATTTTTTCTGTCACCATTTGAAAAGAAATCTGAAATAAATCGCATCATATATATATATATATATATATATATATATATATATATATATATATATATATATATATATATATATATATATATATGCGTGTATTTGCACGTAACGGTCCTTATGTTTTCGTAAGTCAAAATGTTATTAGATTTTCATTCAATAGTACACTTTTTTTTAACGATTTGAGTAAAGTTATGGGAGTAAAAATTAACTTTAAAACACACACAAATTTAACGTAAGCGTCTAATGATGAGTCACCTGATCAAAGTCTTTGTTCAACGTTTGTACCGCATCAATGAACACTTGGCCCATGGTCTGACGAATGTACGCACACTTAGGGAACCATCTGGCATGTTCTACCCACACGTCATCTTCATCTTCCCAGTTCCTGAGTCCACCACCACAGTAGAAACATCTGGCACAGTCACCATAACCTGTGGGGAACATTCAATGAACAGAGAATATTAAAGGAAAGTTTTGTATTATGTAATTTGAATTTTAAAAGAAAAAATAAATAAATAGTTTTGAAAACTTAAAAAAAAAAACCACACAATAAAGGTAGTAATATAAGTCAGTATACGTGTATAACGAATAGAAAAACATTGATTATTTACTCCAACTGACCCCCGTAATAAAAGCCAGCCTCAGCCAGATCTTCCTTGACCAGATGATGACGGCTGGGCCAGGCAGATAAACTCTCCAGTCGTTTGACCTTCAGAGCGTAGTCCAACCGTTTTGGTCGTTCTGTGATTATACCAAGCTCAGCGTACGTCGGGTTTCGGCCGTTTCTGCGACTGTTTTGATTGGCTGGTTGTGGTTGGATGGTATTTCCGGTTTGACTAGAAAATAGGTTTGTAGCACTTTCTTGTGGGGTAGCTGTTGGTACTTGGTTTGAGTTGGATACTACCGTATGTGTTTGTACAGTCTGTGGTACAGTTGTGGGTAAACTCACTGTTGGTACAGCAGTTAAATTAGTTGATGAAGGCAAAATGGAAAAAGACGAAGTTACTGACGATCCATTTTGTTGAATCTCTGTCTGAGTATTTCTTTCATTCAATGTTAAATAATTATCCGAAACTGATTGCACTGTGTTATTATTTACGTTTTGTGTCGAAAACGTTTCACCCGAAATATTCCGTGAATTTAACAGAGTTAACTCCCATTGTACTTGTAGCACATTGATAGTAGTCTCCCCTGCATGTGTGTTCACGTTATTACACACCATCTGAACATTGTCACAAAACTGACCAGTGACCATGGGACAACCAGGAGACAACTCTTTATGAATTGTATTAGTGTCGTCGAAATACCGCCAGCCACCCTTGACCGCTTGACAAAAATAGCACATGACGTCATCATCAGTATCCCGCCCCTGCCCCACGTACACAAAGCCGTCACGAGCAAGAACAATGGGAGATTTCCCACAGCGTGCCGGATAGTTTTTAAATGTAGCCAATCGAAATCTTTCCATCCTCAACTTTACCCATGATATGCCTTGAACTTCCGATGGAAACACTTTTGCTTGTTGGTTTGAAATGTTTATATGGGCCTCTGCCATACAATCTGCAAATAGGAATTTAAAAAAATGTTTACATAAAAACATTATTAAAATATAGAAATAGAACAAAATATACATTTTTAAGCAATATTACCACTTTAAAATTTGAAATCATATTTTTAAAACGGGTGTTTTTGTCTAAACCTCCTTCATCATTCTAAAAATAGATATAAATAACGGCCACAAAGTACTCATACCCCAGCGTATCGTTTTAACTAGACTACCCCCCCCCCCCCACACACCCACACTTCTTTTCGCACAGTAAATCTTTTTTTAAAATGTATTCGTTGAGCTTTTATATATCAAGTTTATATCATTGTCACTATAAATGCTTTATGATTATAATCTACAATATAACATAATACATTTTAAAAATTAAACTTGCCGAATCTGAAATTTTTAATTCTAATGCATAATTTGAGGTCGAATTTTGTTATTGTGTTTTGAATATTTATGCCGCGGGTTTTTGTATTAAATTAACCCAAGCGAAGCCAATCCGCGAAGCAAATCAGCGAAGCAAATCCGCGAAGCTGTTTCTTAACATAGCTTGCGATTATGCCCTAATGTTTAGATAAAGAATATTAAAAACTGCTCTACCTAAACAAGCAAAATTAGCCATTAAAACTAAAAAATATCCTAAATAAACAAAACCATTGAAAACTGTTCTTCAAAACAAGAAATAACATTTTAAAAAATTAAGTCAAAATTTTTACCATTAACTTTTTTATGTTTTTAGTTTTATTTTAATTGTTTTCCGTTTTTAAGTCTTGTTACCCTGATAGCTTGATAAATTGTTACAAGAGACGCAAAATTTAACTTGTTTTATACTTTTACTTCTGTAAAATTATATTGAAACTAGATCAGATTATTTTTAGCTACGGGTTAACCTTACCCTATTTAAAAATTTAAGAAGGGAAATCCCTGCAGATAACTGCATTGCTACTGAATGTTGCAATGGTACCTATTTCATCACACTTTGAAACTGAGAATTCATGAATAGATGAGCTTAATGATATTTCGACCAAACGAAACTGATTAGGAAGTGGAAGACAAAAAGATTTAATGGGATCGTTTGGGAAATCCCCAGTTTTAAATGATTTATCACTAGAAATGATCGGCGCTACTGAAAGTAAAGGACCTGTTGAATACTGATACGCCTATTTATAGTGAAAAATAATTATCTATCCTGGAATCAAACTGAAATGTTGGTCTGCAAGCGGTGATGTAAGGTAAAGATAAATAATTTCCAGCAGTTTTGTTTTGTTGGGACATCGAAATTTCATGTTATGTGATTTTCATATTTATTTATTTATTACCATAATTATATATATATATATATATATATATATATATATATATATATATATATATATATATATATATATACATACTATGTTTGTGTGTGTGTCCTATATGCAATACTATGCCTTTCAAAAGATCCCCTCGGAAATTCGGGAAGTTGTTGAGAATTGTCCTGGGAAGGTTCTGTGGGGGGGGGGGGGGGGGATAATATCGAAGGGACGGCCTCGTGCCGGTGTGCGTTTTGGCGCCCCGGCTTTCCCGTGAGTTCTATGGCGATTACGTTCGTTTTTAAATGTGCGATACACTATGTATACGATTGGCTACAATAACCGTTCACTAAAGCAAATTAGGCTTGTTTTCCGATACCCCCGGCTGGGTGCTAATTATCGCATCGGGCTCCGTGAGAACTACGGCGCCTACGAATTTTGCGTGAGCACTACGGCGCCCACGCATTTTTTAAAATGTGCAATAAACTACGGATACAATGGGCCTCTCAAATCCTTGACTAAACCGAATCAGGCGCGTTCGTCAGCGTCCCGGTGGTCGGATGTCCTGCAGCAACCCAGGCTTCCCATTGAGCACTATGGCACTGACATTCGTTTTCAATAGCACCATACAAAAGGAACACGGTGGCACAAGGTGTTCGATTATTAAACCTTGATGTCACCCAACCTGTGACGTCTTTACCTTCTCATTCTTCTCCTTCCAAGCACAGTGCCTTTCAATATTGTTTTGGATAGAGCGTTAACTCATTTGAAAGGCCCATACTGTCTTAGCTTTATTGTTTTGACTGTGTTAAAAAGACTCACAAAGAGATCGATCGGTTTCAGAACCCACACAATGACAATGTCGCCCATCTGCTTTAGCTCACGTCGGCTTCTCTTTCAGTTTCATAACTCGTAGTGTTGTAAACACCGATTTTTATCAAGATCAACACGATAGATATAACTGTTTATACAATGAATTTAGTTATATTTTTAAAAATATGTTGACAAATTAAAACACCACCAATTACAAAACCCTGCCAGTTACACTGTATAGATTTGACACAGTTATGCCATTAACTTTGTTTAAACAGCATCGCAACGGTGAATGGTACAAATCTAGCCATTGATCAAATTTGCAAATAAAACCGTTGTTACTTCAAAGAAATACAACTTTTAATACATTTATGGTAAGTAGTTTTCACACTTTTGACGATTAATTCTTCACTTTTTAGAAATTTTTAGTCATATTAGTTTGATAAGAAAGTTGTATGGATCTCTTTAATTAACGTTAACAGGACAAGGCATCCGTGTTATTTGTGGTCATTTTATCGCACCAACCAGAAGGCGTTAACTTGTTCCTCACCCAATAACCATTTCCAGTTTCGTTATCTCTGGTTGTTGTATCATGTATTTTGTTTTTCCATCTTCGCTCCACTTTCATCACAATCTTGACCTTACTTTCGTTGTGTTTTACTAGTGGGGTTTACACATTGAGTGACACTTTGATATTAAATCTATTAGTGTTGTTTTAAGTAACATTTGCCGAGTTTCGTTTAGATGTATTCCATCTTATTTTGCAATGTAAATATAAATTAAATTAGACAAACTTTTACTACGTCTAAATGTGTTGTCGGTAATTTTGTACTGTAGTTTAATATAACAACGGTGAAACACGTAAATAAACAAACCAAAAAAAAAACATAAGTAATTCTATTTTTTATTTTGTTGACGCTCTTCTTTTAATTTTTTTTTTAGAAATTATCATCCAGAGAAATGTCATCAAGGAATGAAAAAAACAGTTGTTTTGTTTTTAAAGAAGTAGTCGTGGCAATTTTTTTTAAAACTGTAGACTGTGTAATATATGAATTGTAGTATTGACATATTTCTAATTATAATTTATGAAATTGAAAACACAAATCCACTATTAATCAAATTTGAAAAAAAAAGTATTTAAGGATAAAAATAAATAACATCTTGAAAAAGAATAACATAATTAAGTAAAATAAAATCTAAACATCTAAACAATTTTGTTAAATAAAGTCTTCAACAAATAAGCCACAGTGTTTTATTTTGACATGATCACTTTTGAGGGAAAAGTGGGCGCAAAAAAAAGTTAATTGGAAATTCTAAAAGTTACTACTGAAAATGGTAAAATAATACAACTTTGAAGCTTTAAAAATAAAATGCCACTAAAATGTATTTAAAATTGAAAGTAGGTCACATCACCGCTGGGAAATACCCCTGAAAACATCTGGTCACGGTTGACCTGTTTATACAGTTATAAATAGCACAAGTCTTAGTCCCTTTGTACCATTGCGCTATGACTTTCTTTTTTTATAATTTAAAAAAATTCTTGCTTTCTGGAAGTAAAAATTAATTCACTCTCCATCGGGGTTTGGGCTTTTAAGATAAAATATGACGAGTGTGAACTCCTACTGAAACATATTTAAAAAGTAACGATTTTCAAAAACTGAAAGCTGTTATTATGTATCTTTTACACTTTGTAAGTTGTATTAAAATGGTTCACTATAGATCTACCAATCGTCGGCCCGGCACGTTTCATATTTAAGAAAGAAATCGATGTTTAAAAAAATGAAAAAAATTTCCCATTAGGAAGGGGTCGGCTAAGTTATTACATAATCGAATGGGAAGAACTGACTTTTTGTCAAGATGTATGACAGTGGGGCGTGGTAAAATTCTTTGGAAAAGGTGACGTCATTTATATTCGACACCCACACTATTTATATTTAATACCCTACGTCAAAGATTTATGTCAATGGTTTACAACTGCTATATAAATTATTGGATGCTATATTTAGTTTAGTCTCTTCCTGGGTCAAGTAAAAAAAAAAGTCGATCTGCACGAATGGGTGAATCACTGTACGTAGAACGCCAACACAAGCATTTTTACGTCATGTTTCCTTATAAGGTCGTTCATCTGGAAAAAAAGAAATAACATTTAATAGTTAGCTACAGTAAATAATTCAAAGGATTTTAGAACGCATTATTTTTAAAATTTAAATTAGCAAACGTGGAAACAACAAGAGAGGCTAATATATAATAAAACTATTATTATTCTCTTATTACGTACTCAGCTTTTGATTCATTGCACATGTAATGCGGATGCCTTTCATTTCCATTGTTTCTGCACTATTTTATAAACCAAACGATCACAGCCCAATTTTCAACAGAGTGTTTGACTTTTCTTTGAAATGTTTAAGATTTGAGCTTAAAAACCTTCATCTCTACATAGAGGAAAAATGTGTACAATTTTAGGAAATTTTAGTTCCAATTTATTAATATTACTTAACTATATTTTAGGTATTTAAAAAAATATAAAGAAAACATTAAAAAAACAAAACAACAACCAAATTAAAAAAAAAACAACTAGCAGTTTCCTGACATGATTTTTCGTTGCTTCCTTGCGATTATTATTTAAATATGCAGATTATGTTAACCACAAAAACCATATTTACATATTGATTATTTTTTCCTATATTTATTTTCCGTGTCGTATCATATTGTTAAGTTATAATTGATGCTAGATATATCTTAAGTTTTAATTTTACTGCAAAAAGGGAGATAAACAAATAGACCAGCTACAATGCAAAGTCATATTTTATAAGAAATCTTATTACCAGTTGTAATGTTTACAAAACACGCAGGTAAAAGGCGTTAAACTTCCTAGTTTTTAGGTCCTTCATTCAAGAAATTTAGGGAAATTTAGACCAATGTTAGGTGTTTTTACTATGGTTTTTATTATTTGGGTTAGAAAATACCCTCAAGGAAAAATGGTAAAGCAATTCCTGGTACGGTTTGAAGGTTATATATAGTTTCATTTATCTAATCTTGTGTACCTTTCACATCAATGTGTAGTTTTATTTATTTTAAAAATTGAATACGTGTAAAAGTAGCACATTTTCAAATATTCGAAAAATGTTCTACTCTAAACGTTATGTCTTTATTCCACGAATGACGTCAGATCTGAATGTATATTTTGTAACCAAAGGTGCATGAGACAACAGCTACAGTGTGTCAATATTTGCAGTTTTTTCAGTGGTTGCTATATATAGCATTTCCTGGTTTATTTTTAATAGCCATCAAATTAAAGTGATTCGCCTGGGCGAGTCACAGTACAAAATACAGTACAGATTCCTTGAAAAGTGGAGTCATTGTTTGCTGCTGTGCTACACACGGTCTGATCTTGGCCGACTTCCTTATATGGTAAGCGTTTACATTGTACGCATCTCCTTCTTCAAATGCCCAGGGATAATCTCCCGTAAGTGCTCCACCCTGCCGTCATTTCCCCCTCTACTCCCCCCCCCACCACTTTAGAGGTCAGTTGAACTTTCTCTATCCACATACACCATCATAAGAAGTTCCCTGTGCCTAACCTTATCCCTAACCACTTACAATATAAATAGAGTAAAACACGGGGAGTGATTGATAATCCGAATGTCTCGGGTTCGGATCTCTGAGTCCACCCTGCTCTGATGGGTACCTGACTTATGGTGGGTACAGTAAAGGCGGCTGGGCATAGTGCTTGCTGACCACACCGTTTAGAAGACAGTAAAATATCATGTTGATTGTTCCAGTATTGTGTGGTAATATTTACCACACTGTGTAGAAAGGCCGTTGTCGAATACCTTCGAGGATTGTTCGTGTATGGTGTGGCCAAATTAACCACACGTCTCTCTGCGATATACAGCAGTGTTGTTGTTCAGCTTCCAATTATTGCAGGATTCCCAACACTATTATGTTTGTTTAAACTTGTACATTCACTAGTAAACGTATGTAAGCACACCCCTCCCACTTCGCAATAAAAACCAAGACCAACCCCTAGTTAGGATGTTTTTTGTCATTTTTCTTACCTTAGGAAGTACAAAATAAAGCTAGATTGTCTTTATTAAACCAATGTCGGTTTTCAATAATGTAAATGTTTCAACAACAGCAACAACAAAAAAAGAATAGCCAGTCACTTAAAAAATTATACGTCAAATATTACTTCAGTTGCATCAATGTCCAAATGTTTGTCAAAGTTAATAAGGTAGTGATTCACTATGCATTTCATAAGACGATGTGCATTTGTTTATGTGCTCTACTGAATACCACACCAGGCATATGATCGATAATGCAGACTCAGATTTAAATATTTTTTGATGATCTCCATAGTAATTTATTATTTTAATAATCATGATTATTATCTGTTCATTTGCAGTTTCGTATTTTAGAGTATATAGAAAGATTATGGTCCGTTCATAATTTCTTGTATTCTATTTTTAATGGGGGAGTCATGAGAGGAACCTTTAGTTTTAAAGTAAATTAAAAAAAAAAAAAAAAAAAAAAAATTATGATACTTACTATTAGGATTAGTATTGCTGTTAACTTTCCTCTGGATTTTAGTCTTTCTCCAATCGATATCCTTTTTTGTTGTTTTTAATTAATTAACTAATTAATTAATTAGAATACCTAAAGAGAAAATTTTAAAAAAATTATTATTAGTTTTTTAATAAAAAGAAAGAAAGCATATTTTAATTAAAACAATATTCACATTCAGGAAATCAAGAACAAGTCTTTCTCCGATCGATATACTTTTTTTTTGTTTTTAATTAAATAACTGATAAATAATTAGAATGCCTAAAAAGACAAATTATAAAAAAAGTAATATTTTTTAAAAATTTTAACCAAAGAAAGAAAGCATATTTTAATTTTTAAAAATATGTCAAGTTCAAGAAATCAAGAACATGTATTACCAATCCAAAACCAACGAAAAGACAGAAACAATCTAAATCTATACGCAATTGTTTATTGTACATATTTGATAGAAACAAGTTGATAATGAAAACATGCTGTAGAAATATGCAGAAGATCTCACACAAGCACAGTACAAGACACAAGAAACATAAAAACATCAAGGCCTCTACATTTTTAAAACCGATGTACATTCTAAAAGCCAGCACCAAAGGGTAATCATTAATTATAAAAAAAAATACATAATATAAATATATATTTGAATACGTTTGTTTTCATGAGGTTAAAATCATTGATGGGTTTTAATATAAAACAACAATGAGATAATTAACATAGGTTGAACACAAAATATATTTTATTACTTCAAGTAAATATTTCTTTTAAGTTTAATAAAAGGTCATATTCAAGCAAAGTCTAATGGGTCGATGATTTGGAGTCCAGATGTGGAAGGGGAAGACAAATCCGAGTGGGAGAAGCTGGCCAAGTGACCAAAGCCTGCCATGGGCTGTACAGCCACAGGGATAGTTGGTGGTTCGAAGCTAAAGCCTCACCCTAAGGTGTTCGTGGGAGGACTGTGGTAATTCTCGTCAGACTTACTTAAATATGTGGAACCATTTTCTGTAAGAAAACATACTTGTTACCCACAATGAATTTTACAAAAAAGTAAAATTCATTAAACGAAAAGGAAAACCAATTTGATTACTGAATGGTAAACGCGTGGTACTTGAAAATAAAATTATTTTGATACTTACATTTTCGGTCTTTTAACCAATGAAAGCTCGAACTGTCCCCTTGACCACCTTCCTACAGACTGGGCAATCTTTCATGGCAGCAGCACAATCACTGCAGGAGACCAGATGACCACAGGGCAGAAAGACCACGGCCACTTCTCTGTCCATACAAATTTTACAAACAGTTTGTTGACGGAGCTGGTTGTTTCTTTCTTTTATCCTCGACAGACTTTCTGGAGACAGAGTTTAAAATATTCATGGGTTATTACATTAGCTTAAGGCATGCAAAAATGTTTAGGTATTCAATTAGGCCCTATAGAAAAACATATGTACATATTCCATTAGGCCCAATACAAAAACATGTTTACATCTTCCAATAGGCCTTATACAAAAAATGTTTATATATTATTATATATTCCATTAGGTCTAATATAACATTTGATTAAATAAACTGTACTGATAACAAATAACAATTATGAAAACTAAAGTTAAGAAATCATCTTTATAATAAAATATTTTGTTTGAATCTTACCTTTGTAAGCAGCTGATTCAGTTGATGTACCTGCTGTTGCCGATCTTTCTGTTGACTGTCGGCTAGAACGCTTCCCATCTTTAGCTAATCTCTCAATTATGGTGTCTGATGATATTTGAGCTCCTGGGGAGGCAGAGAAAAAGAAAACATAGTTTAAAATATTCAGGTGAGTAAAATGTATCTAAAAAGTAGGCTTATATGTAGGCCTATGTAACATTAACTTACTGTTCATTTCTAGACTACAACAATAAAAGATGTGATATTTTAAAACAAGACAAGCCATCTTACCATCTTCTTTTATCCTCTGTGCCGCTCCTACCACATCATCAAGTACGTATCCCAGTTCAACAACAGTTCTAACAGCTGCGTCACGTGATAAGGGGTTTGTGCTGGGGTCTGCATCAAGATACGAATACAAGAGTTAAAACATAAAGTGTTTTATTACTATTGTATTCACAACAATATTAACAATGTAAATCTGTTAATGTTTTTGTGTTTAATAAAAATAAAAAGGTTTACCTGTGTGAAAAGATAAGTGGGCTGATCCTATTTTATTCGTTACCATCGCGAAAGAAATCTAAAAACAAAAAAAAAATATTTTACATAAGTTGAAAATACAATTTGCTTGGTATTTAATCTAGATCTATTAGGTAAAATGTGTTTTTATATTGATAATATAAGTATTTTTATTTTTCATTTTAAATGGTACTAAACTTACTCTACTAACCCTCATATAAAAAAAATGTTAAACTACAAGCAGAGAAAATACTCCTAGCAAGTGCTCACCTGGTCGAACTCTCTGTTCAGTTCCTGAACTGTGTCCACAAACACCTGGCCCATGGTCTGTCGAATGTACGCACACTTAGGGAACCATCTGGCATGTTCTACCCACACGTCATCTTCATCTTCCCAGTTCCTGAGTCCACCACCACAGTAGAAACACCTGGCACAGTCACCGTAACCTGTGGGGAACATTCAATGTACAGAAAATATTAAAGGAAAGTATTTTATTATGTAATTTGAAGTTTAAAAGAGATATACAATAAAACTTTTTAAACTTAAAAAAAACAACTCAGAAAGACAAATTACTTTACTTTCTGCTAGCTAATATAAGTCAGTAAAAGTGTATAACGAATATAAAAACAGATTATTTACTCCAACTGACCCCCGTAATAAAAGCCAGCCTCGGCCAGATCTTCCTTGACCAGATGATGACGGCTGGGCCAGGCAGATAAACTCTCCAGTCGTTTGACCTTCAGAGCGTAGTCCAACCGTTTTGGTCGTTCTGTGATTATACCAAGCTCAGCGTACGTCGGGTTTCGGCCGTTTCTGCGACTATTTTGATTGGCTGATTGTGGTTGGGTGGTGTTTCCGGTTGGAGTGGTGTTGGCCTCATTCTGTGTTGTGCGGGGAGGGGTTGTGGAGATGGTAGCGAGTGGTGCTGAGGAAGTGGTACTTTGAGCTGGTGACGCCGCTGTGCTGGTTCTGTTTTCTATATATAGATCTGCTGGCTGCTCTGTAGATATCTCTTCTGTTGTTGTGTTTTCTCTGGTTACCGTACGAGAAGGTATCAGCTGTGTAGAATGATTTGTTCTGGGGGAATTCCTATCTTCATTTATTAAAGCTGTGTCTTCTTCGTTTCTTCTTACTTCTGCTATTTCAGGATACTCCCTCAAAGAATTTGATATTTGATTTTCAATCTGCAGCGTTGTAGGATGACTTGGAAACATAGCAGCATCGAGCTCTATACCTTCGTTGGATTCGATCATGGACTGCAGGATTCGTGTGTTGGTGGCAGTACACTCAAGGGGTATGTTCTCACATGGGCTACCGTTAACTAAAGAACAGTTGGGCGACATCTGGCGGTGAACTTCCGTCACGTCATCACTAAAGCTCCATTCTTTTTTCGTGGCACAGCAGAAGCCACAAATCACGAGGTCGTCGTCCTTTCCGGTGCCAATGTAAACAAATCCGTCTCTGGCCAATAGAAGAGCTGATTTCATGCTGGAAGTCGGGTAGGTGGAGAAAGTAGCCAAACGGTACATTTCTTGTTTGAACTTCACCCACAGCACACCTGCTACTTGGGTGGGGTGCAATTTCACATCATTGTGAGCACTTTTTGCCATGGTTATTGAATTGACTGGTTCGTGTATGTGCGTCTTTGATTGCTTTCAACTGAGTGCTTCCTTTGTTTTTCTTTTCCTTAACTATTCTTTCTTATACGACTTTTTTCTCTATAAGTAAATGCTGTGGATTTGGAAAAAGAGATGTATATTATACTAAACAACTTTTAAATAACAAAGTAAACAACAACACTTTACATTTAGATGATTAACGTATTATTGTTTTGTTTTTTTTTTGCTTTGAAGAAGTCTACTGTTAACATTACTCTAAATTCAATATTAAACTAACAATGTATAAAAAGCTATTAATTATGAATATAATAATATCATTATGTTTTTCTTCGTGAAGTAATATATCATTTTGAGATTACCTATATCATAGGGTTCTTCTGCTTTAATTTAAATTTGCATTTATTTCGCTGTTTTGCGGAATCCAATGCAACGCACATTAAGCCCCTAGATGAAAATACCAAAATAAAACAAATTAATTCAAACGAAGTAATGCAGTGGGCATAAACATGACTGGAAAATTACTTCATCGCCTTCATTGAGCTCGTGTGTGTGTGTGTGTGTGTTTGTGTGTGTGTGTGTTTGTGTGTGTGCGTGCGTGCGTGCGTTGAGCAGTTTCGCTGATGCTCTAGACAAGGAAGAGCCTAATCGGAAAATCCCAGTTTGCAGTTGGATGCTATTTCTAGCATCGTGGAAAATTTCTACCCGTATTGATATTGATTCGGATTCCGTCACGACAAAATTAGAGCACACCTATCACACACACCAACACCACAAAGACTGGGGTTACCCCATTCAGAGGCGTAGCGACCCTTCCCGGCGCCCGGGGACATACTTTCAATTTGGCGCCCCCCTCGGGAGCAAATTTTCGATTTGCATCCCCCCTCGAACTTTTCATTTGCACCCCCCCCCTCAAACTTTCGATTTGCACCCCCCCCTCGAACTTTTCATTTGCACCCCCCCCTCAAACTTTCAATTTGCCGCCCCCCCCCCTAAGGTCGGCGCCCGGGGACATATGTCCCCCCCCCCCGCCCCCCCCCCTCGCTACGCCTCTGACCCCATTGAAGCTTCAATAACAAAAGATCGAAGTAGTGTAAAGATTATCCTAACATCATTTAATTTGTGAAAAATCCATTTCTTGACCCAGTGCATTCAAAATTGTCATGTTTGTACATATAATACGATAAAATATACAAATTTAATCAATAGCTCTTATCAGTTATTTATTTTTCTTCTTACGAACTGTCGATTTTAAAGTTTTAAATTATTTTTAAAAATTAAACCATCAGTTTTTAGGCTACAAAACTAAAACCAACTGTTAACACCTAAATTCCTTCTGTAATATTAAAGACAAATCATATACCTACACAATGATATATAACACATAAGTGTGCTGATGTTCTAACTTTACTTATGGTCAAAACAATCAGGCATACTGCTGAACACTGAAAATATCACTAAAAACCCTCAATCTGATGAGAGTTAAACGTTCAATAAAAACAACATACATATTTAACATTTATTGCATTTAAAACAATGTAGCTTCACAGTGAGGGAAAAACGTGGCGTATCATTAATTTCTTGAAATTGTTTGACGTCAGTGGAAATCAGAGTTTCTTCCAGGCATCTCTTCGGGGGGTGGGGGGGGGCGAAGCCCCCCCGAAAATTTTTTACCGCCCCCCCCCCGAACGAAATTTATATAATTTATATAGAAAATATATACTTTTAACAGTGTCCGCCCCCCCCGAAGAAAGTTTACCGCCCCCCCCCGAAGATTTCAAGTGCCCCCCCCCCCCGGAGAAAAAAGTCTGGAAGAAACACTGGTGGAAATACACATTATTTAGGTGGGGGGCCTGGTTTGGTCATTGTAAGGTTCTTAAGGTTTAGCCCTCTTGAATTACGTGTGACGATGGAGACATGATGGATAAAAATTTTTTTTTTTTAAAAAAAGGCCGGCATTAAATTAATAGTCGACACTTAGACAAGACTGTCAGCAATGTCTATACCACAATTTTGTTTTTGTGAGTGGCGTCATTTAAGGAAAACCCATACGACGCTTTCAATAATGGTAACACCCTAGTTTCAAGACGAAGAGATATCGCAGGAAAAATGTAGGCCTAAAACGCTTTGAATGCAGTCCTAAACATGTTATATACTAAAAACAATTCAACACTTTGAGCATAGATTAAATATTAATAAAAAAAAAGAAACAACAACATCACGAAAAATATTTTAAAGACCAACTTACATCTTATGACATCTGTCTAGAGGAGATACCTTCGTTCTAGATTTCGTAATGACATCACTACATTGCTCCACTTTATATAGGCTCTACCAATATTTTCCGCATTGCTATTGGTATTTAAAAACAGACACACCCACGCAAGCGGTTTAACCTTTTCCGGTTCATTGTTAAGCAAAATATTTGGAAAATATCTTCTAGTCGCTTAGATAGTATTGACTTTCTTACGTAACGATCTTGATAAATTTAGAGTTCCTATAAGGAGGATTCGGAAATTTGTTTGATGATGTGTAACGTGGGGGAGGGGGGGGGGGGAAGAAGTTGAACGTGTAACGACACACTTTTGCAATTAAAAAAAAATAATGGTAGTAACTGAATTCTAGCTTTTGCTACTAGATTTATATCGCGTTTTTAAAAACACTTTAAAAAAAATTGTAATATTAACTTATGAATGTACGCAAGATATATATTTTTAAAACTACTATTTTGAGCGGGAGTGTTGTTTTAAGTGTCACGTCATTTTCAAGCAGGAGGGGTAGGGTTAGCTTTATGCGATAATGGGGGGGGGGGGGATAAATTCAGGTCTAAGTGTCAATTTCCGTTTGTCAGTGTCACGAGTAAATGATCTGTCTCGAGCACTGTGCACGTGCTAAATAACACACACACACACACGACTTTTGCCTCCAAACTCAACACACTGTAACATTACTTCATCATTCCACAGACCTCCACCTTAAATTTTACCATAACAATCCCGTCCCACCCCCTTCGTTCGGGATACTATTGGGATTTTTAAAAAAATGTAATTTAAAAAAAAGACAACCCAGGATCACGTATCAGATAGTTTTAAAGAAAACTTATTCTTTTTAAAGCATTTAATTGTGGTAAATTATGCTAAAGACGGAGATTTACGAATGCAAAGTCTAATATGACATTATAATTTTTGAAAATATAAATATATTATGTACAAAAAATAATGTCAATGTATTCAATTATGTATTCAATTTTAAAAACGATGCTAGAGATGTATTAAGTATACGATTTATGAAATCAA